TAGTCCCAGGCCGGGCTATGCTTGTCGTCAAGAAGGAGGAGGAAAGGGGATCGCTCGTAAAGATGCACTAGGTAACAGAGACTAAGAAAGGTTGCTGGGGGTATATGCCGGACAGTGGACTCGGTCTGGAGAGCATGTTCGAATATGTAATGTATTCCACTGTACAATATCTGCGGATTGAGTCCGCGGATGCAATTATTCTAGGCCGTCTTACCTCCGAACGTGATGAGGGTTGCAGTATGCAGAACAGACGCACGTCTATGGAGCCCGGGAGGTGGGAAGCAGGGAGGAGGGTGGTGAGCTCTCTCGGGAGGAAGAAACGAACGAGCCAAGAGTTCTTTGCAGCCGGTCCCGCAGATGGGAACACCTTTCGCCTTACGCTGCGTACTCGTCGGTTGTGATGTCTGAAAAGAGAGGAGAGAGAGAGAGGGGACAGAAGCCGGTGGGCAGTAATAATTGGTATGCTGTGCTGTGCCGCTGCTGCTCTTGGACAGCCGCCGCGGGCCACTCCCAACACCCAGAGATTACCTACTTGATCGAAATTTCGCGAAGAAGACCATCTTTGCAACCAGCTAGGTTCTGACACTGATCGAGAACATACGGTATCAGCGTGACTTCACGAAACCACTAGGTTCGGTGAAAGCACACCGCTAGGCCTTGGTTGGTGGTTGTGTTTGCCGAATCTTGAACTTTGTGAACGGTGGTCCCTGTCTTCATGGAGGTCACGATTGAGCTAGAAGATTGGAATCTAAGCCAGAGCAGCGACCATGCACACAATGAGGAAGTCAGCTCCGCTGAACATGGTAGACGCGTCGTAGTTTGGGCCCGGCGATTTGGAACATCCCTGGACGAGGTTGGTGTGGTTTCATGCGCGCTAGCAGCATCGACACAAAACGTATCCGTAGCGTATAGCTAAGATGAGGTTTCGCTAACGAGGTAGAAGGCGCACTTGCCACTAGGTGCCACATGGCGTGGTATGAGTTGGAGGGAACTGGCAAGTCGGAGTTGTGAACTTGTGTGTGATGTGAAGCGTCGGACTTGACGAGCCGAGCTATGCGGCCAGCGGAAGACTGAAATACACTAGGAGGCGGCGAAGCGGCGGCCCCTGGTTGGGCTGCATGTCGCTTTCGGATGCAACATGGGTGGTGTTGGAGAACGCTGACGAGCAAAGAGAAGACGAAGGGGAAAAGCAACGACGGATGCAACCCAATTTGGCTGACAGGGCGCACTGGCGATGGGGGAGCCGGCGGGAGAGCTGCAAGAAGAGCGAGGGCCAGACCATACGTAGTAGAGGGCACAAAAGACGAGCAAGGCCCGTCGAGTTGCATATTGAGATCCTGTTCTCCCCATTGCCCGCCCAATGGTCGTATAATCGTCTTTCGTTCTTGAGTGATGACCGCCATATGATCCTGAGCTTTTCGGTTTTCAGCGGTGCGGGGCAGGGAGGGTACCGGATTGTCAGAAAATAACAACAAGATGAACATCTGTCCGAGTGTTTTGACACATGGGACCAAGTTTTGAGTTGGCCAGGCCAGACCAGACGGGATGATTACAGTGTCGGCCGGCAGAGGAAGAAGCGCAACTTGTTTGGGCGCGGGCAATATGCCCAAGACGAGAGAACGGGGCTGTAAGAGGGGCTACTGGGGGTCAACTCCGAACCTTCTGCAGTCTAAAAAGTGAAGTTGTGGCCCTACTCCGTATACTAGGTAAGGTAGATATGCTCGATCCCCCGGGATTGTGTTGGAACTTGTGGCCAGCAAGTTCTAGCAAGAGGGCCTTTCCAAGGTCTGACGGGTCACGACAAAACAGCGGCGCTCAGCCCTCGGCCAATAGCGCACATGATTCATATGTTCTGTAGATTGAAATGGGGTCGCGTGGGTTGGACGTCGGGCAGTCCCCAGGTCTGGAGATTGCTCTGGGTGAAAAAAGCTTGCCGTCGGTGACAGGTGGAGGGCCCGGCTCGGGAGAAGAACAGGGTGCCGTGGTGCCTGCTAGTCTATTAGGCTCTTTGAACTTTTGAAGTTTGATGGCCGGGCCGCGACAAAAGGTGGGCGTTTTCTGTTTACACTACTGCGTATTCCAGTAGATTGTATACTTTATCCATGGAGTGGTTTGGGTGGATTGCGAGGGGCTCCTGAGTGGAGTGTCAGAAGATGGCGTTCCTCGGCATCGACGATGAAATGTGACTAAGAAAAGGCGCTTGATCTTGGCACATGTTATTCGGGAATGGCATGGCACAAACCAACCGTTTTCTGGCGTGCCTGGTTGACTGTACAAGTTGAAGTTTGATACTAAATAATGGAAATGAGGTACGGATACGCTACTGTGTGGACTCGTGGAGTATACTTGTAGATTCGTCGATGAGGCGTCACCGTTTGGGCACAGACAATGCTCTAGAAGCAGAACCAGAAGGAGAAGGAGAAGAAGGAGAAGGGGGAAGACCAGACGGGAGAAGCAATAACGGCACCGGACTTTCTCCATTCTCCTCCTTCTCCTTCTCCCTCTTTCCTCCAGTCTGTGCCCTTGGGGCCCCCCTTCCTGTAGCTTGCATTTCTGTTCCTGCTCCTTCTCTCTTCTCTTGCTCCTTCTCCTCCTCCCGGGTGCCGCTCTCCCCCGTCCCGCACATTTGCACCTGCTTGCTGCACCCTCGGCCGAAATGAGATGGTGGCCGTCGGCGTACCTTGCATGAGGTACCTGCCCAGGTGCCCAGATAGGTACCTATCCAAAGGTAACGCCAACGAACTGTGAAAGTCTAGAGTACTTTCTCCATCGGCACGTTTTGCACTGTAATATTGGTACCTGTGTACGGAAACCTCGGCTAAATTGTCTAGACCAAAGTGGATGTCGAATCCCCTGCAATCCTGCCACCACCATCATCAAGAGGGAAGGAGCGAATGCGCTCAAAAGCGCCAGGGCCAACGCCATCCCAATACCAGCTTACGAGTGCGCAGAAAGGAACGAAGGATTACACAGCTCGCCCGTTGACAACTCTACTAAGTACCTTACGTTCATACTGAATTGGCACACTTTGGTTATCTTCATCACATGAAGCCATGCAAGTGACGGCAACAATAGCATGACCAGATTGGGTTGGCTCGTTCCATTCTTCGTCTACTAGTTGAACCTAGCATCGGCGACAATGAGTGGGTGAGAAGAAGCAGTACGCGCACGTTTGTACGTAGGTAGACAGCAACGACGGACAACATCATAGACATTTTTCATATTCTTCTCGATGCCTTCACATGCTATCAATCGCCTATTCTGGCTGCGTGAAAGTGGGCTAATGGCCGTAGATACGGAAGTTTTTCCATATTCGAAAGGGGCGTTTCAGTAGCTCTGCTTTTGCGTGGCTCGCTACTGATACTGGAGGGATTACATTCCCAGTTGGAGATGCCGCATATCCAAATCTACATAGCCCACAAAAATGCACCCGCGGCTACATGGTCATTCAGGATTAAGTGTGGTCTGATGGTGTTCGCTTGTCTGCTTATCTGGAGATTCAGAAAACAGTAGTATTTGCTCTCATCCAACGCAGCGCAATATATCCCATTATCGACGGTATTTATCAAATATCAGACATTCTTTGGGGTATTCGGGGCGAACAGCCGGGTACAAGTAGCCTGAAATCGATCCCAGACGTTATTGCTTCAGAGCGTCTCTCATATATGGCCAAACAATGGTTGCCAATGCTTCAATGCAACGTCGTTCCAACCAACACGTCCCGCCTCCCCCGGCCCGCCTTATGAGCGTAGGAACGGCATCCCTGCCGCCATTCCTCGGCTTCATATCCAGTTCAGGCCCGGGCTTCAGGCGGGAGAGAGGGCTTGAGACTTGGATGAAGACGGTAGTGTCTTTCTCTAACCATTTTCCTCCGAAAAGACGCCTCGCTCTCGTCATTACGGCGGCACAACGGATCGAATCAGGCGATTTGCGGCGTCATGATTTTGTCACGGGGGTTATCCTCCACACGCGAACGCGGGGCTTTCATGCTCATTTCCAGTGACATATCCGCATCGATCAGCAAACCTCCAGTGAGTCTTCAGACGGTAGCAGAACCAACACTGCGATCCGAGCATTGGCATGTCGACACCACACCACCAGGCTATACTTCCGTGATCGACATATTGTCTGTGTGGAAGAGCATAGGCGGTCGGGAACCGGCTGCTAGTTCGGCAAAAGGATTCCAGATCGCAACCCACCGTTACATCGCCTACCGATCAATTTCCCCTCAGCTTCAGTTTGCCAAGGTTGCATTCAAAGTGTCTAGTTCATCATAAACGTCAGCAGTCAACTCGAAAGCTTCTTCGGTGGTTCCATAGAGACTGCGATGTGTAAATCTTCAATAAAAAGCTTTTTATGAAGCACTGGTGTTCCTTGGGTGACAAAGCGATGAGAGAAGCTGCGCGACGATGAGTTAGCGGGACTTGCAATCGAGGCAAAGGCAAAAGCCCTGAAGGACAAGTCATTTCGCAGTTGAAAATATTTCCAACGAAATATCAATTAGATCAGGAGAATGGCTAGAATCATACAGTCGCATTGACACGGCCTCAGACGCTCGGAGCCGGGCCAAGTAGCAGAGAAAAGAAGCCACAAAATTCGGCCGCTCTCGGACGCGGATGTAAGGACGGGAGCCCGGAAGACGGAAGGCCCCACTCACCCCTCTCCACCCAACGGGTGTCAGCAGCTCCGAACCCTGGGCCGTCGGAGTGACAAACACATCTCGTTATCCACGAAAGCCTCGCACTGACACAAACACTTCCTTACATACAAACCTCCTCAGTTGTCCCCCCGGCCGGACCAGACACTCGCGTCTCGTCACCCTGAATACCCCTCATTCTGCGAATTACCCCGTCTCGACTAGGTACTATTGCTATTGCTCGCCCTCTTCAATTTCAGCCTCGGCCTGCTTTGCTTTGTCTGGCTTCAACCCGCTCGTCAAGCTAGACTCAAGGCATTGCAGCATTCTGCTAACGTCTAACCCAGGCCGGACACCCGCCGTCATGCCAACCACTCTAAAGTTCGCTGAGCATCGTTATGCTGCTGATAACGAGCTTCAGAAGCTAGGAGTGTGGGAATTTCCCTCATATACGGATAATGCCTCTGGATACTGGGTAATGTGGGTTATCTAACCTCTCCTGAGATACCCTCATCCCCTTCCCAGCTTCAGTAAATCATTAACTCACTCCACTCTAGTTACGTCCACGGTGGTGCGTGGCGTGATCCCCGAAAGACCCTTCAAGACTTTGGCGCTTCTATCCAGGAAATCTTAAAGTCCAGGTCCATCCCCAGGTCTGAGATTCGCGGCTTCATCAGCATTGACTACCGTCTCTCTCCACACCCTCTCTACCCGCAAGACCCCGACGTCACTTCTCCCGCAGAACTTCGTTGTGCTCAACATCCGGATCACCTTCGCGACACCTGGTCAGCCCTTGCATTCTTACAGCGTGAATATCAAATCGGGGACCGTTATATCCTCATCGGGCACTCGGCCGGCGCTACCTTGGCCCTTCAACTGCCCATGGGGTCCGTTGCGCTGGGCGCGGCCCCTCCGCCGGAGGTCAAGATGCCAACTGCGTTTATCGGCGTTTCCGGCATATACGAACTTTACAACCTCAATGCCCGCCACGAACAGACTTACACCCAATTTATTGCCGGTGCCTTTGGAGACGACCAGAATTCTTGGAACAAGGTTGTTCCGGCCACCTTTTCAGGGAGCTTCAAGGATGCTCTGCCTACCAAGCCGCTTATCTTGCTGGCCTGGTCGCCGGAAGACTCCTTGGTCGACGAGCCTGAGATCGATACTATGGCTGCGAAGCTGAAGAAGGACGGGGTGGAGTGCACCATCGTCAAGGACTTGACCCACGATCATGACTTTGTCTGGGAGGATGGCAAGCAGATTGCCCGCTTGCTGTCGGAAGCTCTCACCCTGTTGAGGAAGAACTAAATTCGAGGGCCAGGCGAAAGTTGTGCTCTTTCTACGGCCACGCCTTACATTACAGATTTATGATGGATCATCGTATTGGTCTGAAGTGCTCACAATATACCATTTCTTCATTAATATCCACTTCATATTCTATTCTATCCGTTTCGAAGTGTTACACATCGTCATTCGCGCCTCTCTCTACAACTTCGCCCCCCAAGCCTTGCCCGCCTTGGCCGTTCTCGCCGCTCCCACCGTCAGCGCACCGGCAATCATCATGACGCCGCCCCAAACCTGAGCCCCAAGATATGAGCCCCCTGACCTGTCGATGATGGCGCCCGCGATCGGCGGACCAGCCAGCGTCGCGAAACCCGAGATGGTGGCGACCATGCCGAACCGCGTGCCCATCTTCTGCGGATCGGTCGTCAGGCTGGCGGTCGAGCCGACGAAAACGCCCTGCGTCGCGCCGTTGGACAGGCCGTAGAAGACGCTGAAGGCGTACATGCCTGCCCTCGTCTCCACGCCGATCCAGGCGAATTCCATGCACCCCAGGAGGAACATGGTCATGACGAACATGTTGATCGGGCCGACGTGGCGGTCGGCTAGCCAGCCGACGATGGGCCGGATCGGGATGCCCATTCCGTTGGTGATGAGAAGAAGCGTTACCGACTCTGTTGTGGAGAATCCTATGACCTTGCGGGCGTATGTGTTGATCTGTTGCCTCCGTTAGCACACGAAAAGCATCACAAAACACGACTCCTGGTCAAACCTACGTAGAAGAAGCCAAAGTACAGCGCCATGAAGTAGAAGAAGACTCCCAGGGTGTACAAGATGTACGGCAGCTCCCGGAAGGCCGACCACTCCAACAGAGGCCCAGCCTTTCTCGGAGGGAGTCTAGGTCTCAGCAGAGCAATAGCAATCGTCGCCACGCCGAGCGCGACGAACGCCGAGCACCGTACAGCCCAGGGGAACCCGACCTGCGGGATGAGATACTGAAGCGTCGACGGGAAGATCAAACTCCCCACCCCCGTCCCCGTCGCCGAAACAGCGAGCGCTAGAGACCGCCTCTTTTTGAAATACGACCCGATGATAGCCACGCCCGGCATGAACAGCACGCCCAGCCCCAGGCCGGTACAGATCCCCTGCGCGAGCATAATCTGCCAATACCTCGTACACAGGCTCGTCATGAATGATCCAAACACCACAAAGGCACAACCCACGGAGACGGCGTGCCGGGCGTACCCGGCGTCCGTGAGCCGGCCCGAGACGGTACAGACGGCGAACGTCAAAAAGATTTGCACGGAGCCGATCCACGAGACCTGCGAGGCGGGCAGGCGCAGGGTCTCGGTGTAGTGGAGCTGGTAGACGCCGAAAGTGGCCGGGTAGCCCCAGGCTAGGGCGTTGAGCATGTTGCCGGCCAGGACCTGGGACCAGGCCGTCCAGCCGCCTTCCGGGTAGACGAGGTCGTGCTCGGCGGACCATTCGCGGACTTGGTGCTCGTCTGCCCCCGAGGTCTCCTCTTCGTCGGTTGCGGTGGCCGTGCCGGTGGTTGTTTGGATCTCCTTCTCCTTCTCCGTGGTGGTAGGGAGTTCGGCGCTGGGGCCGCGGCTCCTCGATGAGTCTGATGTGTCGGACATGGTGATGACGCCCTTATCTTGGTCAAACGAGTGTTGTGATGATGGCATGTCCATCCCGGGAAACAGACGGTTAAAAAGACGAGACGACTATGTGGTTAAATATGTTGAGTCAGGTCCTCCATCGATCCAAGGGGGCCTGAAAAGTCTTTTTTTTCGTTTTGTCCTTTTTCTCAGCTGGTAATATTAGATATTAGGGATGTAAAGCGAGGAGGTCAAAAGAAGAAAAGTCGTTTCTTTCGTCACGGAGTCATAGCCCAAGCGGACGCTACTAGCAATAAGTAAAGAAAAGTGATAGAAAAATAGAAAAAATCAAGAAAAATTGCAACCCAACTATCGCGCCGAAATCGCCCTATCTTTCTCCCCGACTACCGAAATTGAAGAACCTCCCGTCTACGGAAGCAGTTTCACAATGCAGCCAACGGGGAATCGTTAGCAAACAATGGTAGCAAACACGGCCGGGATCTTATTTCCGGGCCTGCGGTGTGACCGCCGGGAGCGGGAGAGCGTCCCTCCCTCCTCTGCATAGCTGCGGGACTCGGCGCCCAACATGTCGGCTTGGGCGTACGCCTTTCGCGCCCTATCTTAACCTACGGCCCAGGTACTACCGCGGAGTGTTAGGAGTCTTCGGCGAGACGGAGTGTTCGCCGAGGGGCGATGGTGCTCCGACCGGATGCCTCGAGTGAGACTTTGACGCGGTAATATTTTCGGTAGTATGAGTCCCGGGGAAAGCCTTCCGAAGCGGAAGACCCCACCCGACTGGGCAAAGTTGGAACTTGAAGAACAAAAGTTTGCTCCAGTTGATATTGCGGTTTGCTTGCTTTACAGGGCTGCAGGGCAGTACCGGGGGTATATTGGTCATGCGCATATTTCTTATTTCTCCGTCTCTCTCTCTCTCGAGTCTCAGCACTCTCAAGTCCCAACTATCAGGTAAGTCTCCGTACCTACCCGAAATTCTCATCTGGTCCTGTCCAGAGAGGTCCTCGAAATTTCGAGAGTTGCGTGACTCGATCACTCATTATCATTGGACGTTAAAGGTAGCTTGGTGGTTCTGGGGGGGTTGTGACCACTACTCAAGCTACCTTGGCAAAAGGCGGAGTTGCATTGTAGACATTCTAGGTCCGCAATTGACCTGGCTCGACCAAACCTATCTGTCCGTACAGCCTACTACTACAATAGCGTGCTTTGCGGATAGCTCTGCCACTGCGGGCTAGAAAGAAAGAAAGAGAGGCATGAGCACAGGAAGAACGAAAGCGCCTTATGAGTCTGGAGATGAAATATGATCGATCAGTCATTGGTACATATTCTAACTCAAACGTGCAGGAAGCACATCTTTATTCGGTCCAGAGTAAGGTAAGGCAGCATGTGTACATATCAACCATTGTTGTGTTCTTCGTCATGCAGAGACTTTTCGTTCCTCAAGGTCCCTCGGGACTGATAAGATAATATCTTATCTTCCGCCGGCTTTCCCAAACCAACCATCGGTTTAGTGACATTGGAAAAAGCAGCGACAGCGGAGGTATCGCACGGGCCGCCTTCGGTTGCAACTTCCCAGGACCGCCCCCGCTCCAAGAAAACCCGAACGCCAACAAAAAGCTGACCCCCATCGGCGCGCCGAATCGCGGATGCGGGGCGCAACCTCCCGTTCCGTTTAGTTTACCTTAAACGTGCATCCGTCCTCATCCAACCCACCGTCTTCGCCCCGTCGCGTCGCATCGCATGCTAACAATGAGGATACCTTGCCGAGTGGTCAAGATGCGATTTGCAAAAGAGCCCCCGATCGAAGAAGCAATAAACGCTGCAGCTAACACGTTTCTTCATCTCTCCCTTTTCTCTTTCCTTTTCTCCCGCACGATTCCCATCATTCTTTCCCGCCTTGCATTGAGGCTTTCGCTATGCTGCCTTACCTTACCGCGATGATCGATCCATACCGTCGGGCGCAGATTGATTGCGCATCACCTCACTCCATCCCAACGCGACCTCTAAACCCGCCCAGTGCCGTCCAATCCGAAGTTCCGAGAAAAGCGTGCGAGAAAGTGTCGTCACCAATCAGTCTCAAACACAACAACGCGCCGCGGATCATGACCTGATGACACCCCCCGATCCTTTTCCATCCCTGCGTCTTCTCTACCTTACCTCGTCACCTTGCGGTGTTGGTCGCTGGCCTTGTCTTTTGGTTCCAGGGGAAAAAGAAGGGGAGGCAAGCCCCCATTTGTGCTATTCTCACTCTGCCTTACCTATCCGTATCTTATCCATATGCTGGCCTGTCGCATGCACTATATGTACCGCGTTTTTTTGCCACCTGCTCCAGCTAGCTGCTCGTCTTGGTGTCGCAGCAAGATTCGCGACTGCAGGCACTGCGACTAAACGTCCCATCCCCCTCCGCCGGAATAAGCACTGCCACCAGTGAAACACCCAAATCCCTCCAATCCAAGGAAGCTCGCACCTCCATGCTGCGCCTGCGCCTCTCCAAAACGTCCAAAAAACGGTAAAAGTAAATCAGCGCATAAAAGTAAACAAACAAACAAAACAACAACAAATAACAAAAACCACCTTGAGACGCGACTTCAAGACGATTCAATTCGTTCCTTTTTTTTTGCGCAACGCATGCGATACATATGCACACACTCTAATTCGCCTCTAACCCACAACCGCCAGCGACGCGCGCTCACCGCCTTTAACCATTTTTCATGCAAAAGTACCAATCCCGCAACGTCCTTGGCCTCGCTATATTCCTCGTGCCATGTAGCGCATGCATCGGCAAAAAAAAGAAGACAAGAGGCTGCTTCAACGCGATCGCAAATTTGCGCCACGCTGACTCAATCGCGTCGCCATGCACGCACTCAAACCCTGCATCGCACCATCATCCTCACGACTCTTCAACACAATTGTCGTTCACCGACGACAACATGTAGCAAAGCGAAATTCTTCACGCGCAAAACTTGACCAACCTGCATGACCGCAACATCGTTGACCATTAAAAAAAAAAGTGCGGGGAGCTCTCGAAGAGGTGCGGGGTAAATAAGCACTCATTGCAAAACATGGAATGACGTAATTAGAGAGGTACCTCACGCTTGGAGCTTTCCCTCTCGACAGTACCTCTCCCCGTGTGGATCGCGGAAGCTCTTGCGCCCCAAGCTCAAGTACCTCTTTAGCGCGCGAGAGTGCGCACCAGCCAACTCTCCCTCCCAGTGAGAAGCCCGAGCTTCTGCTCTATCGCGCGCACGGCTCGCAACTGCCGCCGCACACTGTGCGACTGTGCGCCTGTGCTTCTGCCCTTCCCCATCTGACAGGGCGGCTAACAGACGTCAGCCACACCATCCAATCCATACGCCCCCCCTCCCCGCCCGAGCCGGAACGGGATGCAACGGCGAGAACCGCACGCTAGTGCCATAAACGGACTAGCCGCGCATCCATCTTTCAACGACTTCCGTCCTGCTCTGTCCCCGCTCCGCACCGGAAGATGCAATGTCATCGCACCCGCATATTCACTTTTCACCGTTGTCGCATTCCATTAATTGCATTGCGCCGCATCGCCGCAAACACCAAAGGTACATGATCAGGATGTTTTTTTTTCTCCCTTTGGCTTTCGCTACAGAACCGTTGCCACTAACAAAAACAGTCGTATCGTAGCTGCATCTTCTCCTGTTGCCCGCCTCCAAATAGCATCCAGAGAGGAACTAAAGAAACAGAAGCAAGCTCGCTCACGCAGAGAAGCTTCATGTCGCTTGCGCACATATAGGAAAACACAAACCTCCAAGGCATGCGATCCACCTTCCGCCCGGACAATTTGACTATTGCGTGAGCCTCGGAACCGTTCTCGCCCGCCATTGTACCCATCCTTGCCTTTTGTTCTCCTCCGCACCTGTAGCCTCCCAATTCCATCCTCACTTTGCATTGAAACCTTGATCTTCCACATCCTAACACTGATCCATTTGCGCTGCGCACGCGCCCACAAGTATTCCAATATACCCGCTTGCTTTTCTGGCCTTCAGCCGCTCCACCACATCGTACAGTTGCACAACTTCGCCAAAACTGTAGCACCCTCGCCACAACTCGAAAGACATGTAGTAGGAAATGAAAAGGACATCGCGCGCAAGCCAGTAAATGGAATTACAAAAAAAAAAAACACCGCTTCCCATTTAAAAGAGACCATAAACGCCAAAAGGAGTGTGCGCAACCGGCCTCACCCGGCGATTCTCAATGGTACTCACCAACGAGTCTCTGCCGTGTTGCCAGTGCTGTTGGATGGTCATGGTGACAAACATCCGACAATTGCGACGATGAGAGGCATGTCGTGAGACGATACCGTCCGAGCGCCTCGCCCAATTTCAATCATCTTTGTCGCCAGACGCCGGTAAGCCTGTAAACCTTTGTCGCCGCAGAAAAGTGGTCCAAAACTTTGTGACAATGAGTTGTGAAATAGACTCGCCAACCCTCTTCTGAGTGATGCTGCGCAGGGCTGTGCTCACTCCATCAGGAGTCGGCCATTCTACCGCTTGCGCTTCTTGTTCTTGTCGGCCATCGCGGCCGTCGTGGCAATTGGCGCAGCTGGCAGGAGAATAGGCTGCGTAGGGTTGACAATGTCTTCCTTCTTAATAGGAACGCCCATGTGTCGTCCATACCTGCCCTTGCGTCCATTGCCCTCGTCCTCGCTGATGCATTGTTCAGCATTGAGGCCGGCGTCACGGCATCGCCCACAAGGTCGCTGCCTGTCACAGCCCTTCTTGCTCTTGCGGCATCGCTGGCAGCGGGGCTTGGCGGAAAGATCAAGCTGATCGTCTTCGCCGGGCGCACCCGAGGTAGCAGCAGCAGCAGAGGCAATTGATGGCTTGCGCGAAGGAGGCAGAGAGGCCGGCGACATGGGCCCGTTGCTAGCGGGAGCGGGAGCCGAAATGGATGCCGGGGCTGAAGCCTTCTTGGGCTTAGGAATAGTAGGCCGAGGAACCTTGCTGACCTTGGTCTTGGGCTTGGAGCTGGGCAGTTGTGTCTTTGGTTTGGCATCCGGAAGGTTGGTCTTGTTCTTCAGCACCTCGGGCTTGCCCTCGCCATTGACGACGTGACTGGTAGGTTTCTCGACACGGACGTCTTCAACAGGAGTTTCGATGCTGGGTTGGGGAATGAAGTGGCTCTCTGTAGTCTGGTAGATCTTGCGCATGACACCAGCAGCATCCAGCTTTTGGCGCCGGGCGGCTGACTCCTCGTCACTCTCACTTTCGCCATCGCTAGTGGCTCCAGTGGAAGAGGCGGCGTCGGCACGGCCGCTGAAGGTGTCGTCCAGCGTGGACGCAGAGGTGCGGCCATGAGAAATGTTTGACATTTCACCCAGGCGCATAAGCTGGATGGCAACATCCTTATCCTCTTCTGACATGCAGCTGCCAACGGTGGGGTCTGGAGTGGGCAGAATGCCGCTCATGCCGCTGTAGTTGCCGGTTTGCCCAGCGTATCCGATGCTACCGCGACCGTGGCGTTCAGACGACGGCGTCGCATAAAATCCACCTTGCGCATATCCATTATTGTGGCTCTGCGGGGAATGCAGAGGCATCGGGTTCGTGAAAGGGTTCTGGCCCGGGTGGACAAATGGCAGAGAGGCTCGCTGAGGCTCGGCGCGGCGGGCAGGAGATACGGACGGATTCGACGTAGCCGCTGGCATCTGAGGAGGCGCAAATAAGGGGAGTTCCTGAATGGAACAGGATGAGTACAAAGGCCCAGACTAACAAGAATAGAGAAGAAAAGGATATTGTCCAAGACCCGTGCGGTCAGGCAAACTTACCGAGCTTTCAAATTTGGCCCGCTTGCGACGACCTCCCTCAACAATGTTTTCGAGGCTGATTTCGGTGTTGCCAATCTGCTCCTTCATTCTGCTAGAGCTGGACCCAGGAGCGCCGTCACCGCTGCTGTATCCGTTGACGCTATCACTGTAGATATCAGCGTGGCCATTGGAGGCGGCAGTGTCCCGATTCTTGGAAGAGCGGGATCGACCCTTCTTGGAATTCGTATGGGCAGATCCGGAACGCCGGCCGCGTCCGGCATTGGGGGATGGGCTGCGCTTCCGAGAGGTGCTCGATGAAGGCCTAGAGATTTCTTGGCCGAAGCGCGGTGGAGGCTGCAGCGGATAACCGTTGCCCTCGAAATATTGCTGAGCGCTGGGGGGAGGGTTATGATATGTGGGCGGCACAAAGGGGCTAGAAGCAGAGGGGGACTCCTCAATGACTCTGACGTAGACAACCATGTTGTTGCGGAAGTTCTCGTATCGGGCGATGAGGGTTATACCATTTTCGTCCTCGAAACTGACGCCCTTTGAGCCGGTCGGGCCACCGTACAGACCGTAAAAATTCTTGACGGTGGTAACAATGGAGTCGGTAGTGTCATGAGGATATATTTGGACTCGCATGGGGAGTCGCGCCCTGTATTGCGGTGACTCGGTGAAGAGGAGTTCAAATGCGACGTTCTTGGGCGACACCGTCTGCCGGGGCGAGACGCTACCCTGGTTTGAGGTGGCCGCGGAACCGCCGTTGACGACGCTTGTGGGAGACATGCTCGTCATTGTGATGTATGGTATTGATTCGATGGGTTTGAATGGAGGAATGTCGAGCGAGAGAAGTTTGATGGGAAATGGGGTGGTGTGCGATGAGCGGGTTTCCGTAGAGTTGGCACGGAAAGGTTGGGACCCTGAGCCTGAGTCGGCGGTCGATGGGCGGGACGAAGGGTATCAACGACGAGCAAGCCGAAACTTGAGTCGGATGAGGAACGGAATGAGGTATCAATCCACCGAATTATCAAACATGGACGTTATATCGAGGGTCCTGTGTCGTCGTGCGGTCAGCGCCAGACGGGGCGATCTGACCAAGGACGCTGCCGGAGCGAACGGTCGGAGAGGACGATGGTTGAGGAAAGGAGTACGGGGTGATTTGGAGTCTAGGGCATGGACTGCAAAAGATTAGCCATGGGATGGAGGATGAGGACCGAATGGACGAAATTGACGGTGTGATAGAGTGTATCGGGAGTGAAGAGAGGAGGAGAAGCAGAAGTATGGTTAAGGTAGGAAGAGGAGTGGTAGGAGAGAAAGAGGAGAGGTTGAGCTGGGACTGGGTCGGGGAGCGCACGGCAAGACGTAGTAGCGAAGAAGCACAGCCAGAGAGAGAGAGAGAGCGAGCCAGACCCCAGTCCAGACATCAAACCTCTCTCGACATTGAGCCCGGCGGAAGCACAGGAGAGTCGGGACTCGGGATCTTGGAGCAGAATGGTGCAAAGGGATAGAAGACATCGATCGCAAAGACGATAGGATCGGTTCAGACTCACTTTGGAAGGATGACAGTGGTGTTGGATGATTGTTTCTGCCGGGCAATTCGCAGGTTTGTGTGCAATGTGCATGAGAGGGAAAAAGAGGAGCCAAGTTGAGAGGTTACGATTTTGTGTCTGCGGTCCGTCAGTCACCTCAGTCCAAGTCCAGGTCCCAGGTCCAGTCCAGTCCAGTCCAGTCCGGTTTCCAGTTTCCCAATTTCCAGGTCTGGTCCCGTCAGGTCAGGTACCGTCCACATCGCCGCACCGTCAGTCAAGTACCTGACCTTCTGGTTAGGTTTGTCTCTGCTCCTGGCGGGGATGGAGTGGCTAGGTACCTGGACCCCCTGGGCCTCCCGTACGACAGTCTACCTCCGCTAACCAACAGGCAGTACAGCGCATATGAAATGAGGAAAAGGCCCTATAGTTGCAGGAGCAGCCCACTGTCGTGGTGACCGGGGCCCCCTCAAGTGCCGGCAGTAACTTCCCTCGGGTGACAGTGCGCGATGAACTGTGCCAGCTTCGATTCCTCATCCTTGGCGGGTCATGCCCGATTGCCTTTGCTTCAGGGCACTTGGTGCTGTAGCTTAGGCACGTATCACCCCAAGTTGAGGGACCTCACAGGGGCCATGTT